TTGCAAGGCGCACATATATACTCTTCGTGCGAACGAGACGGTGAAAAAGCACGCGCCTCGCGTGATAAGTTCATCGGCGCGGGGTTGAGCAGGAGAAAGTCAACGAACCAATAGCGAGCGGTACTTGATTGACTCTGAATGGTACGTCGCTTTTATTACGTGCAATCGGTCATAATCCGTCTCCGTTCCTCCCTCGTCTCCTCCTTCTCCTCCCCGCGGCGATCCTCGATTCCGCTCGCTGTCGTCCTACATCATTCACGACACATAACCGGTGGCGTGCTCAAGTATAGTATTAACAAAGCGCTGTATGTCGTACTCGGGTATAGGTCGAGGAGCACCAGATTCCCAACCTAACTAAACCTCTATTAAGCTAGCAGGACCAAATTAGCAAAATCAAATCAAACCTATCAGATTATTTAGTACCTATTTTGTACTAATTTGTACCACTAATAATAATTTTGTACTCTGTGCAGTTTCAAAAAAAACCGTGACACTGCCACCTTAATATTAAGTCAGCAGGGCCACAATAAAAAAAAAATTAAAAAATAAAATCAAGTACCGAATTATAACAGGCTGAATTTGTACTAATTTGTACCACTAATAATAATTTTGTATCTTGCGAAATTTCGAAAAAAACCGTGACACTGCTAGCTTAATATTAAGCCAGCAGAACCACAATATGAAAAAAAAACAAAAAAAGAAAATCAAGTACAGAAATATAGCAGACTGAATTTGTACTAATTTGTACCATCAAAAAAAACTTAATATATTCATCCCTTCGGCTTCAAACAACCCCCAATTGAAGTTCGCCTTATCAGTCTCAAGAATAAAGTACTCTACCCCATCGGCAGAATCAATCGCTATTTACACACTCGACGCGGCATAATTTGTACCACCAAAATATAAAATTTCAGATTTTGTACCCCAGCCGATTACTCAAAAACTACCCTTGACCCCGATCAGTCTCAAGAATAAAGTACTCTACCCCATCGGCAGAATCAATCGCTACTTGTACGCTCGACGCGGCATAATTTGTACCACCAAAATATAAAATTTCAGATTTTGTACCCCAGCCGATTACTCAAAAACTACCCTTGACCCCGATCAGTCTCAAGAATAAAGTACTCTACCCCATCGGCAGAATCAATCGCTACTTGTACACTCGACGCGGCATAATTTGTACCACCAAAATATAAAATTTCAGATTTTGTACCCCAGCCGATTATTCAAAAACTATTTTCGACCTCCATATAAAGTTTCAATTTTTATAAAAATATAAAGTTCCATTTTTTGTACTAAACTGTTCTTTTTTAAAATTACATTTAGGAAGAGAATTTATTCTTTTTTATGATTCTATATATACAAATATCAATTAAACATATATATGTATGCGTGAAACTAAGAACCATATTAATATCCACGTTAAAATACAGTTACCCCATATATTAACTTCTCAATAAAATTATAACAGTAATGGTTAGGAATGTAAAAACAACAATTTCGAATTTTTATATTAGAAACAAATTAAATTTATTGAAAGACATGAGAAAAGAATCTTAACTCTATCACAATTTCTTGAGACTGATCGGGGTCGGGGGTAGTTTTTGAGTAATCGGCTGGGGTACAAAATCTGAAATTTTATATTTTGGTGGTACAAATTATGCCGCGTCGAGTGTGTAAGTAGCGATTGATTCTGCCGATGGGGTAGAGTACTTTATTCTTGAGACTGATAAGGCGAACTTCAATTGGGGGTTGTTTGAAGCCGAAGGGATGAATATATTAAGTTTTTTTTGATGGTACAAATTAGTACAAATTCAGTCTGCTATATTTCTGTACTTGATTTTCTTTTTTTGTTTTTTTTTCATATTGTGGTTCTGCTGGCTTAATATTAAGCTAGCAGTGTCACGGTTTTTTTCGAAATTTCGCAAGATACAAAATTATTATTAGTGGTACAAATTAGTACAAATTCAGCCTGTTATAATTCGGTACTTGATTTTATTTTTTAATTTTTTTTTTATTGTGGCCCTGCTGACTTAATATTAAGGTGGCAGTGTCACGGTTTTTTTTGAAACTGCACAGAGTACAAAATTATTATTAGTGGTACAAATTAGTACAAAATAGGTACTAAATAATCTGATAGGTTTGATTTGATTTTGCTAATTTGGTCCTGCTAGCTTAATAGAGGTCCTAACTAAAGTGTCGTGGCATATTTTTCCGGGCAAAATTATGAATATGAATCTGTTAATAATGAAAAGAAACACAGAGAAAAGATATATATAAAATATTTATAAAATGTTATTTTTTTATAAATATATATATTTTATAAATATATATAATGTATTGCAATAATCTTTTCACGTATCAATAAAAAATAAATATAAATAATTATTTTTTTCTTTTGTGTGCGAAGCTCTTGCATATAATTTTTATTAACCAAGCATCTTTTGGAGATATAACGTGACAGTTTGTGGATCCACTTGAGAGATATACGTGTATGTTACATTTGTCGAGCTTTTTTAAAACTATAGGAAGACTATGGGCTTTTGTATCGTGTTTCGCGCTCGTTGCATCTTCTTTTACAAGGACACACACACATACACTTACATAACGTGCGCGCATAAAGCGCGCGATGACGCGAGCAAAGAGGTAAACAGAACGTGGGTTGACATTTACTCGCGTCTCGATTAGCATAGTAAACCTTATTCTCGCAAGCCTATAATTAGATTCGCAGCTTGCGAGCTCTTGTTCTCGATCTCGTCAAATCTTGTCGTCCTGCGAGGACACGAGTCTTTTCTCATCTCAGAGAGACATTGAAACAGCTTTGACATGATCCTTACTTGAGGGAAAAGGTGCAAATTATATTTTCTTGAGAAGGTACTAGCTAATAAGATTAAACGTTTTTATTAAATATGTGTAGGCTACTGGAAATCTCTTATAAATTGAGGAAATAATTCGAAGGTGATTCAAAGGTGATGATGTGACGTTTCTTTTTTTATATTACTAGTTTCTTCAACTTTCTACAAATAAATGTTAAAGACTAATGAATACATTTTCAGGAGTGAAATACATATAATTAATGCTTTATTTAGTACTAAAAAAAGAAACGATAAATATACAAATTTCAATTAGTTCAATAAATTATATATAAATATCCGGAGAAATTTCTGTAACTACGAATTTGGAAAGTATATTCAACTTCAGAGTAACTGACGTATTTACTGGAATTTCGAGTCCCAAGGAAAACAGGAAAACGGTCGACACAATATTTACCGTCTTTCCTCGTCAGCTTCGACGATTCGGTTTTACTTTATTACATTAATTTACAGTCTTCCAGTCGCTTCAGAAACGAGTTCTGTCGAGTTTAATCGACGAGCGTCAGCAGCGAGCGGAAGTTGTTTGTTTGATCCTCCCGGAGAAGTTACTTAGTTAAACGTCCAAGTTCGTTCGCTAGCTCCTCGCGAACGAGGGGTATTTTCGAAGGCCTTTTACGATACCGTAGCATTAATGAAGTCAGAGTCGGTCTGAACAATCTCGCGCGACGTTAATCTGGTGTAAATCTTATATCTCTCTTTCTCATAGTAATACTATAAATGTGCTTTAATTCGTTTCTCTTCAACTTTTATAGCTTTAACTTCTACGTACGTTTTCCATCAAACTTTCGACGAGTAACACGAATTTCGCCAATAAATTATTTCTCCATCCACGCAGTTATGAGCCACGTGTCTACAAATCTTCGATTCGATAATAAAAAAGAATTTTCTTTCTTATATTCAACTCGTGCTCCTTTTTTTACACGGAAATGCAATATTACTTTTTGTAACGCGAACGCGTGTTTGTCCGATTGTAATCCTGTTTATGCACGACGTTAGGACACGCGAGAAAAAACGAGTTTATTCGTTTTACGCGTCAGATTAAGCACCCACGTGTGTCATCGACATACGTGGAAAATCCCGGCAATTATGTGTATTACTGCATTTCGTTTGCACCGCGAATAGAAACCGTGTGTGTCTATCGTTTATGGTAATAAGACGTGACATAAAAGTTGAAGCAAACACGCAAACGTGATATCTCAGAAATCACGCAAGCGCGACTTTCCGTTAGGCATATTTTCTCACAAATGCATATATCGCGATTGGAAGCTACGTCATTAGAATAATGCTCTAAAATTAATTATGTATGTCTTTTATCGCGCCACCTTTTACGAGTGAAAAAAATAATAATTGTTGCATACATGTAATGTTACGTCTTGTCTGTGTTTTGTTTGTTATTGGCAGAGCCTGACAATTGAATGACGTTTCGTCTCGACTACATATCTACATAACAATAGAATATAATGATAAACATTGACTTTGAAGCGTGTGTGGAGGACACGAGAAATGTAAAGTGCAAATTTATGTTCAAATTTTTTTTAATAAATTTGATAGACTATTTACGTTAAAAGTGTCTCCAGAATGTAATCGTGATTTTCTTAAAAAAAGCTGACCCAAACGCTAATAAAACACTACAGAACGTCAAAAAATCGTTTTCCCCAATTGTACAGTTTCCGAAAAACAAAAAATAATATATTATTTATATTACAGATATACATCCTCAAAATTTCGTGTAAAATATTAGAAAGTTCATCGTAACGAATATCTCGTACGATGAAGGAATCATTAACACTCTATATAACTGGATGCTGTATAGAACGATAAATCATCCTTGGTTAATAAAAAACTGCAAAAACTGTGCAAAAGATGACACCAAACTATGTTATCGAGAATAGCGATCAGAACCGATCCGAGATCCGGTGAAACGCCCCCCGTCTTTTGCCAACCGTAGGTTGGCAGCAGTCAGGAAGTAAAAAGTCTTTCTACAATAAATGCGCTTGACTTTTCGCTTTTCGCCCTGATTGGCCTATTAGCGTAAACTGTTAGCGTATGCCGTATCCAGTTATGTATAGAAATCATTGATCATTAGTGATAAGTGGCGAAAGTGATTGGCAGTATTGATTGAAGTAGGTGTCTTATGTCCTACAGAGAAATATGCAGACTGCGTCTATAGCCTCATGGAACAATTTCTTGCCGATCGTCCCTCCGCCGACGCACCCGGCAAGCAGAACCCACGGGGCCCCTTCAGGGTTGACGGCGCACGCCGCTGCGAGTCATCGCGGTCATCCTGGTCATCTCGGCGGTACACCAGGCGGAGCCCCTGCCGCCGCTGTCACCACGCATTCTGTATCCGTGGCGCAACAGCAGCAGCGGGAGCGTGAGGAATACGACAAAGTGCGAGATATACGAGAAATTCGCGAACGGGACGCAGTTTTGGCAGTCGAAAGGCAAGTGCGTCAGATCGAGACGAGAGATCACATTGCTGCGCAACAAAGAGCCGCTTACTACGCGACATCGCCGGCTCAGCAGGTCTGTCTTTACGTCATATACTGGAAATTCTCAAGAGTAGATCGTACGGGGATCTGGTATACCGTAACGAGGCTACTCTCACTCCCATCGTTATATTCAGGGTCGTAGAAGGTATCGTTCACATGATGATTACTCAAACGTGTTCTTTCTACGTCGCCGGGAGAAAATATTGCACCGACAGTTCTCTGTGCATTGCTGCCTGGACAGTTACCTCTATTCATGTTACTCGAGAATGGCTTAGCGTGTGGAAAAGATGCAATATAATTTTTCGTGATTTACTCTTGAGAAATTCCCATATATATATATTTTATATATTCTAATTGTAATAAAATAAACATTAAAGTTATGTATTTATATCTAAGAAATAGAACACTAATTAATATGCGGTAGACAATTAATTTGTAGCGATGAACCGTATATTTTTTTACTGATACATGTCGTATTTCAGGTGTCTCGACCTTCGAGCGTGCCCGGGAAAGTCGAGTACCCGCCTCCGCCGGCGCACTCGCGGACATCGAAGTCGTCGTTGCCAGTCGGTGCTCTTCACGAGAAACCATCGGTAGTGGGCCCATCGCACAGCTCGTTACCGAAGGCCGAGCCGAATGTGAATCTATTCAATTATTCATCGACGTATCAACCGTCCTGTTCGCCGTACATGCACGACCTCAAGATTCAGAACGAGCTACGGCAACCGCCGCCAAAGTCTCTTCCGAGCAAGAGTGGGCTGGCCGGCGATCTCGAGAGGGACCATCACGGCAGAGAGGTACTGCAGAATCCACCATCTCTGCTGCCGGATCACAAAAGCTCGGTGATCGTGAAGAACGAAGGTAGGGAACTGGCGAAAGCACCGGCGCCGCAGCAACACTCGTCCAGCTCGAGGAGTTACTTGAGCCTTCAACCGGTGGCGCCGCAACACAAGTCGTCCGCATACGAGGCGTACAGAAGTCCGACGCAGAGCCCGCACCATCTGCATCCTGCGCACTTGGACGGTCTACAGGCGGCGAAAAGCATCGCTTCATCGGCGAGCCATCACCGGAGCAGCAGTGGCGCACCGACAACGACGACGACGCAGCAACTGCCGAGTCCGCATAGCCATCCACCACCGCCTCCGGCGCCTGAACCACGTCTGCACCCGCATAATCCTCGTCAATCTCCACACGCCCCGCCGCCGCAGCACCCGCACCAACCGCCCCCGCCGCCGCATCCCTCGCCACCTGAACCGCGTTATCTCAATAGGCCGGAACCAGCGGGTCTGCCGTACAGCGCGGCCAAGTCCACGTATTCGTACCCGCATCCGCCCACGGCCTCGCCGACGCCGTCGTCGCATTACCCCACGCCACCGCCGGCCGGTTCCAAGCCGAAAGTGAGCAGCCCGGCGCCGCCGCACATTTACGGCAAGCCTAATTCCGGCATCATGACCGGCACACCGGTCTGCCGTGCCTCCGAGCCTCCCGTCGCCGCGCCGATTCCGTTGACCTCGAAGGCCGGCAGCTCGCCTTACCAGCAAGTGCCTCATCATCACGGGGCGCCGCCGCCGCTGCCGCCACCTGCGCATAGTCGAGTTTATGAAAGTCGCTTCGTTGGCTCGTTGGCGGGTGCGAAATTGCCGCCGCCACCGTTGCACGGTTCGCCGCCAACGGCCGCCTCAGCACCGCTTTCAAGGCCGATCGCCCATCCCGCTCATCCTGCGCATCTTAGCACCAGTCCGCATCAGCAGTCTGGTCAGACGTTGCAGCACGCGCAATCCCAGATCACTACGGCCTTCCAGACGCAACCGCTTGACCTCGGAGTGGAGAGGTCAGGTTCACCCAAGAGAAAAGCACCAACGCCATTGTTATGCGATAACGCAAGTGGTCAGCCGGTATCGTTGGAAGTCTGTAAGAAGAGAAGAACCGAGGAACCACAACCATTGTCCTTGCAATGCGTTGGTCAGCCTGTTTTGTCTAGGGTAAGCGAGCCTAGTCCGCTCATTGCCTCGGCCGCCACGTCCATCACCACCGTTGTCAATACTGCGTTATTGGCGCAGTCGAATAGTCAGACGACGCAAGAACAACGCACGGTAACGGCAGTGAGTCCGGCGCCAGGTACTGCCAGCGGCGATGGTTCCACACGACCCGCCAGCACCGGCAGCGTATGTTCATTGAATCCCACTCCATTGAGCGCGGCACCGAGTCCAGCACCCATACCCAGTCCAGCGCCATCCACAGCGCCCAGCCCGGCACCCAGCGCGCCTGGTACTCCCGCCAAAGTAAATCCTAGCACCGGCGCGGATAGCGAGAAGTCCAACAGTCCAGCGCCGAGACCGCCCAGCAGTACTAGTTACCCGGGTCACAAGTTGAAGAAGGCGTGGCTGCAGAGACACTCGAGATGCGAGGATGGCACCGAGAATACCACCAATATGGTCAGCACGGTCTCATTACCCCTTATCTCCCGGGAAACGTCATCGTCCAACAGCAAGGATCGCGACACCAGCAATACGTCAAATGTGAATGCAAACAACAGCAGTGCGCCGATCACTTGCTTACCCAGCGCAGTAAATTCGATTCACAATATCGGTAGCATGGCGGTAAACAGCATTAACAAGAGCAAAGTGACCGGCAAGAGCGGTCGAAAACCAGCGAATAAAGAATCACTGAACGGCCACGCTACAGACACCAGCAAAACCCCGCAGGAGGATTCGTCCAGCAGCGACCCGGAAAGGAAGTCGCCGCCCAAACGAAAGCCACCCAAGGTATCTATCTATACAGATTGTTTACGGTAGTCGTAGTTGTCGCTAAAAATTGTTTTTTAAAAATTTTTGTTTTTTACTTTGAAATGCGTATTGTGTGTTGCTAGCCTATAGTACTCTCGCTTGCCTAGTTTGTCAAGAAATTGTTGTCATCGAAATTTATGTCCGCAATTTAAAGTGCACGTAAATTTGTAATAATAGATGTGCAAGGAAAGTTTATTGTCGAACTTACTATTATATTATTAAATTGGTTCAAAAATCAACGTTCAAAATTGTGAGTAAAAAGAAAGAATTTTAATCAGATAAGGAAAAAAATGTATATATATTTTTTTTTATTGGAAATTTCTTTCTTTTTGCATACTCATTACTTGAGTTGGCATTTATTAGTTTAGATATTTTTTTATATTGTTATATTTAAAGTATGCCTTATTTATATTGTCGATTAAAAGATTGTTAATTTTTTAAGGAATATTTGTTGTAGTATGTTTTATAAAAGAGCAAATTGGATCTGAATCTACTTGACAACATATTATTGAAAAAAATTTAATATAATATATTATTTATGTTAAAATTAAACTATAATTTAAATATTTTCTCGATAATCATCTTAGTATATAAAGTGTAACATATTTGGAAATTATTTCAGAGAATGCTTTGATTTCTTATTTATTTGATTTCTTAACTACGAGAGAATAATTATATAAATGATTATTTGAATAATCACAAACATTAAATTCACTGGAAAGTATTTAGCGCTAATCATTTGTTTAATAATTTGTTGGAATCGATAAAATTGGCATTTATGATTTGTATCAATATAAGATGCCTTTATAATAAAGTTCTCGTCAGTAGAAATCCATAGAAGCATGAATAAATAGTAGCTTCGCTATGCTGCAGTTCTTTAGCTTACAACTGTTGCAAGGTATTCTTGATGGTTAAAAATTTCTGCACATTGTAATTAAGAAAAAAATATTTAATATTCCATGTTATGACAGAAGATAAAAATAATTATATATATATTATGCAAATTAAATTCGAACACATGAGTACTTTTTTTTCTAAATTTTATTTTCATTTATCATCAAAGTAGAAAATTAAATTCATAATTAAAATATCATATATTAATTTAGATTTGTCCGAATATTGCTTTTTTTGTTTCATATTTAAGTAATTTTGAAAATAATATTTTAATGGAATATTCGGAGAAAGAAAATATTTGACAAGTTTCTTGAAAAATTCTGAAATGTTGTCTTGGCAAATATATATTTCTAGTTGTATACGTCGTGTCTATCTACATTTGTATATTGATGTGATATAGTTAGATCATTTCAAATTTTCAAAAATTACCTCCATTTTTTTCAAGTAGTAATTTCCGGGTTTAACACACACGACACAATTTTAAGTTTAAATGCATGCAGGAGGCGCCATTTTCCTACGCAAGGCGTGCATTGTATGAATCACACTTGTAACGGACGTAACGGACAATGTGCGCGTTTCGTATTCACAAGTGTTTCCTCGTTCGTCGTTTTGAACTGTTAGTGAAATAATTTTCGATCGCGCGATTAAACGTCTTAACGTCGATTGCGAATAACAAACAATTTCTCCATGGACAAGTATCGTAGAGGGGTAAATATATTTTTATTATTAATTTTTCCATCGCGACGATTGCAACCTAACCTCGATTCATGCAAAGTGATGAGGAAAACCACACTAGTTTCGACTGCAGACTTTATAATAGAGTCAATCGAATCGAGATTGTAATAATTTTAATAATTTTGATTGGAATGTTAAATAAAAAAAAACGAACGCTTGGAAAAAATAATCCTACTGTACTTTGTACGAAAAATTTCACGTGGCACGAAGACAAAGAAAATGAGAACTCTTGTTCAGAAGACAAAGATATAAATCAAGAGATGATTTTAAGTTATAATTTCTATTTAGAGAATCGTGAATTTTATAAAAATGTCAAAAGTAACGTTGAAATTTTAAATAAAATTTGAAATAAATAAATTTATCTGTGAATTGAAGAATATAATATTAATATAATGCTGTATGTGTACGATAGAGGTTTAAATTATTTTATATTATAATAGTGTAATATAATTTTGAACTTTGTTATTAATTTTGAACAAATTTATTAAATAAATTTGTGAAATTGCAAGGGAAATGATATGTTGCGTACTTGAAATTAGAAGATTCTCCATATCGAACAAATAACGTCAAACATAATACTTTGTAAGAGATACTTGCTACATAATTTTAAAAATCTAGTAGTTATGTTAATTTTATTTTTATACATTTAAAAAAATAAAATTTATCTGAGCTATTGTAAGGTAAAGCTATCTTTTCAAATTTTCTTTTTCGTTATCAATGTTACATATTGATTTTTTTTTTTCATTTTCTTTGTGTCGTGTGAAATTTGGTAACAGATTTTTATAATAGAATATTACAAATAAATACAAAAGTTTTGTAGACTGGAGGATAAATGTTACATGTTTTTTTTTGCGACAGCTGCTTAAGTCATGTTTGTCTGTAGTAGTATTACATAATTTTTAACTTTGCTTAGATTTGATATAGATTTTTGGATTTTATGTGCCGAATGGTAGTGCCGGAGCAGTAGTGTGACCAGTTAGTAGCTTCGGCTAGTAGATGCGGCAAGAGCATGAACTTCCTGACTACTTAATAATCTATGCCCTGTGGTAGGTAAAACGAAAGAAGGGCGCCGCACGAAGGCAACAAACGGCCGCGGAAGATCAGCGGAGGCGGAAAGAGGAAAAGCAAGGCGGCGGAGCTGGTGCAGGCAGCGAGTCTAGCAACGAGAGCGAGGCAGGCTCTGCCAGTGATACCAGCGAACAATTGAGCACCATTCAACCTGCTTCGAGGGTTCGACATACTACGGCCAATTCCAACAATTCCTCGGGAAACGGTTAGTTGATGTAGCTTCTTGTAAATGGACTTCCCATCAGGTGAACTAACTATTCACTTGCAGGGTAAGTGCTTCGTGTTCCATGATCGTATATTATTTCTATCTCTAGAGCTGTATGAGAACTCAAGAGAATCAAGAGTGATTGATAAACAGATTGAATTATGTAGAATAATTCGTCGAATTCCATCTTTGCTAGAAGAAAACGAAATTTTATAAAAGAGCTCTTGGATCTTTTACGTTTTCTTCGAGTTCACCATTTTTAAATTTTTATAATTCGATCTCACGCACTTACCCTGATCCCCAATTACATTACTAATATATGTATATATTCCTATTTTATTATATACATGATGACAATATAAAACAATTGATAACACTATGATACATTATTATTATGAGCTTTTTAACACTGAATTGCACTAAACACACGATTTAGAGTGACGGTTTAGATATTTTGATAAAATCAGAATATGATTTATTATGCAGGAAATAACAAGGAACCTAGGAAACGTGGTAGAAGACCAAAGACTACGAAAGGCAATGAAGTAGGAGGTGAGGATCAACAGCCTCGTCAGAAAAAAGAACGTAGAGACGACAGTACGAGCGGTGGTAACAATGGACCGGGCGGAAGTGGCGGGCGAGGCGATCCCTTTCGTAAACCACCGATATCGCAATTGAAAAAAACTGGGGAAAGCTGGTTGCAGGATGGCGCTTGTTTTGAAGTGGCTCCAAAGCTGGCCAAGTGCCGCGAATGCCGATGGACGCCGCATCAACGTTCCAAGAACCTTCCTCAAAATATCTTCTGCAGATTTTACGCGTTTCGCAGACTGCGTTATACCAAAAACGGACAATTAGCCATAGCGGGATTCAGTGACCCACACAAGGATGCATCCGAGGTAAATTTTCTTTGCAAGATAATTGACTAATAATAAGTGACTAATTATGTGATAATTGCATTTAAATTGTAACGATTTTACACGATTTTTTTAACGTTCAAGTTTTAACTTTCAATTTAAAGTGCATGCTTCTCACACAAGAACTATCATTACAATGTTACAGGAAGATCTTCGATTATGGTTACCAGGAAAAGATAATCAAGAAACAACAGGAAAGGATGACAAATCCGAGAAAAATGAGAAGGACAAAGGGGATCGAGAAGACTTAGATTTGGAAACGGCTCATCGGTTGCTTCGACAAGTTGGCGATCAGTTTTGTGACCTTTTACATCAAGAGAAAGATGCCCTCCAAGAGCACATGGCCGAAGGTAAATTTTTATTCGATTGAAGAAACGCATTTTTTAAATTAATCTCCATATTTTTTTTCTCATGTTTATTTTTTCATGTATATTTTTTCATGTATTAACGTAAAAATATTATACATATAATCGATAAATAAATTGCATGTATTAATTGTTGATTGGTTAAAATTGATATTATCAATACTTTAAATATTTCCTTTTTCAATTCATTTGATTTTTTATGTTATATTACGATTTTACATTTTGTGTAAAACATATAATCATGCAATCAGAGCGTAAAGATAATATTTTATATAAATTTGCAACTTTAATTCGATATTTATTTTGGCACTCTTATTTGCAAAATTATAAAATAATTAGTTAAGCTGCATGTTTGCTTGCATAATTTCTTTTGTTCGCATGTTTTAACGCTTTGCGCATCGATTATGATTACCTTTTGACAGCGAGTTCGGGGGTTGTAGACGGAACAGTAGCGTGGAAACGAGTGATCCAGGGTGTTCGAGAGATGTGCGATGTGTGTGAGACTACCTTATTCAACTATCATTGGGCCTGCGGCAAGTGCGGTTTCGTTGTGTGCATCGATTGTTATAAGGTAAAATATTACACTAAATATATATATTTTTTCAATTAAATATTAGAAACTAAATGATGAAAACATTAATTCAATTGATATTATTGTGATATTATTCTATTTCGAGCTTTTTAACACTGATGTTAATGTAAGATTTTTGCTGATTTTTCTCCGTTAAAAAGAAAATGTTATTAAAAATGATGATATTTTAGGGACGTAAAAATGGAACGATCAAGATCTGGGGCGAAAGTGGAAAAGACAGGGACGAATTCTCATGGCTTCTATGTACAAATAGACAAGCACACGAACCAGAACGACTCATGCTTACGCAAATCATCGCTGGAGACAGTCTTTTGCGATTGGGCCAACGTCTGCACGAATGTCGTGCGGAATGGGGAATCCTTCAACATTGTGCTTGCTCTCTCGTAACTTCGACGCAATCCAACGAAGTTCTTCGAAATCTGATCAAGGGCGATTCCGTGCCTGTTCTTAATGGAAATGTAAAGCAGGAGATAAAGGAAGAAAAGAAGATGAATGAGTCTAACGGCGCATCGGAAAGCAAAACAAACGGCGAAGATAAAAACTCGCCGCTGAACTGGTTGGCGGATGTAGCGTTGCAGAATCAGGACAAAAACGAAAGCGGTTCGAGTTCGGACTCGGATGAGGATCGCGAGGGTAATTACTCGACTTTGCGTGAATTGCTCATTAGACCGTCGCACAAGTCAAATGGTAGCGGTGGATCCAGATCGAATTCGCCAACGACCAATTCGGGCGGTGGTGTAAACGCTACCAGCGCGACTGGTAACACCGCTACGCAAAATAATGTTACCAAGTCCGGCAAAAAATCAAAGATGGATACACTTGATGAAGTAATATCTAGCGTGATTGAACATAGCGTGAAGAAGGATATCAGCTTGGGCGACGCGAAACCACGAGTATTGAAATATTTTGTGCGACGCTACAAGTGGACGCAACGTGGCCGAGAGCCGTTACCAATCAGAATTATGACATTGACGGAAAGTAAGAGCCTCTATCCAGACGTTCCGCACTCCTGGCTCTGCAACGGTAAACTATTGAGGTTAAACGACCCGAATAATCCCAACAATTACAGAATATTCCAGGATCAATGGAAGAGAGGGCAGCCGGTGATCGTATCGGATGTTTCCAAGGCGCTGGACATGAATCTTTGGCATCCAGATTCGTTTGCCCGTGATTTTGGCGATGAGAAAAATGATCTCATTAATTGTATGACCGGGAATCTGGTGCCTAATCAACCAATGCGCAAGTTTTGGGAGGGATTCGAGAACTTTTCCAAACGGCTAAAGGACGAGCGAGGGAATCCTATGTTGTTAAAACTGAAGGATTGGCCACCTGGCGAAGATTTCGCTGAACTATTGCCATCGAGATTCACGGATCTAATGAAGGTTCTTCCATTATCTGAATACACGCATAGGAATGGCAGATTAAATCTGGCAAGTCGTCTGCCTAATTGCTTCGTGAGACCGGATCTGGGCCCAAAGATGTACAATGCTTATGGTTCTGCTCTTCATCCCAGCAAAGGCACGACTAATCTTCATCTCGATATCTCGGACGCTGTGAATGTCATGGTATATGTGGGGATTCCGAAGGATGCCGATAACGACGAGCACATCAAAGGTATGTTCTTAAGTTTTGAATTTAATTCCGCATGACTAATCACAGGATTGCATCCGTTCAAATGTTGAAATAATAATCGATCTTTCGAAAAATAATCATTATGTGACGTTTGTCATTACAGAAGCGTTAAAAGCAATAGATGAAGCAGGTTGTGATGTTCTGACTCGTCGACGTGCTCGTGATCCTGCCGAGGCACCCGGTGCATTATGGCATATTTATGCAGCACGCGATGCAGACAAAATTCGAGACCTTTTGAATGCTGTTTCTTTAGAACGCGGAGCTCGCTTGGAGCCGCATCATGATCCCATACATGATCAGAGTTGTTATCTGGATGGACCATTGCGCGAACGATTGTATCGAGAATACGGTGTGGAAGGGTAAGTGTTATTTTTCACAATATTTATAATCGTATAAATGATTTTTGAAAAAATTTATTACGATGTTTGTACACTTTACGGATTAAAAGGTAATACTTAAACAATGTTAAATATTTGCAGATATGCCATTGTTCAGTGTCTAGGCGACGCAGTATTCGTTCCAGCCGGCGCACCGCATCAAGTCCGTAATCTTCACAACTGCATAAAGGTGGCCGAGGATTTTGTGTCGCCGGAAAACGTTTCGCACTGCTTCCATTTGACCCAAGAATTCCGTGCATTATCCGACACGCATACTAATCACGAAGACAAACTACAGATCAAAAACATCATTTATCATGCCGTGAAGGATTCTTTAACTGTTTTGGCCAACGTTAAAGAAGAGACTATAGCCAAGCTCGCCAAGGCTAACAATGAGACAAAAATAAAAGAAGAGACCTAGCCGTAAATCTTTCGGTACGGTCATAAGACCTTTGATGATAATTTCCTTGATTGGATCTCGTCATGCAAGCGAGATTAATCGTTGTCGGCACTCCCGAATACAGCAAAGCTGACGAAACCGGGAGAATTTGCAGAAGAGAATCTGTCCTCACCGCGGCACAATCATTGAGAAGGTGCGAGGATTTGTTGTGATATATACATACATACATACATAAAAAATATATAATAATGTTAATAAATTTTTTTTTAATCGGGAAGAGAGATACTTGAGTTGCGATGTTGGTTGAGCCAATGAACATTAGTTATACATGTACATTGTTTCATTTGAATTCTCTTATATACATATTTTTTTTGCTCTCCCGCATTTTTTTCTCAAGAGAGACGCTTGTGGACATGAAGTCCGACGAGCTGTACCATGTAAGTGGAAAAAAAAATAAATCGTGAGCCGGATTGCGCATAAATAAAACGCCGCGTCCATTACTTGTGATACCAGATGGACTTTGAATCGTATACATTATTTGTAATTAATTATATCGTGCCTGTATCCAACACACACTGTCTATATTATATAAATGTAGATAATTGTGAAATATTGTGTATGAATTTTTGTGTATGAATTTTGCTAGCAACTACCAGAGAGAAAAGAAGGGAGTTTCTGTCTAGAAGAGGATTTGTCTTTGTGCAATTAGATGTCCTTATGTAGCTGGATCAGAGCGATAACTGTGGATCCATTTAATCGTGTGCTCTGATGATCTGGTGCTTTCGGTATTTCATTAAAATCCCAGCCAGAAATAGCCGATACGTATTCGCGTTTAAGTTTCTTATGTTCCACGCGACAAGGGCATAAGAATAAAAACACTGCCTAACTAATCGGTTCGACGATAATGGAAGAGATAAACCTTTTCGCACTTTTAGTAGATAATTCGTATTGTTCGCGTTTGACGTTTTTTAGAGGCATATTGTTTTCCAATGGCGATATATGTATCGGTTATGTGAGCGGCGGGATATTGCTGCAAGTTTTGTATGTCACTTGAAATAGAAGACATCAAAACGAGAGAAAAAATACAATAATTTCTTCGATATTAACTTTTCGAGATATACCGACGGATGTGTGTAAAATCGTTGAATTAAACATTTTATTGCTGTCATAACCCAGTGACTACCCGGCGTGTAATGTAAACGGGGATATTAATAAGATGAACATGTTATTTTTGTCAAAGCGTATACAAGTCGACAAAAGACAGCGATAATGTAATTATATTGTAACAATACGCTGAGACGCTAAACAAATAAGAACACATTTGCAGTAACATTTAAAAAAAAAAAATAAAAAAGAATAACGACTTTTTAAGTGCCAATGTTGAACGACGTAGGACATTTAAGTATACACGCGTTGTGTAAGCATATATGGGTAAGTAGAAAAGAGAAAAACAAGAAACAAAGAAAAGAAAAATAATTAGTCACAAAATTCGCAGAGATGACAGGCCAAGTTCCTATCATCGTAATAATAGTTTGCGCGAATGACACGAAGTATTTCCGATTATTCGTACTGTCATTAACGATTCGAAAAATGCTGTCGTTTCCGTTTCCTTTCGCGGAATTTAATAGCCCGAATAATTTATGATGAGAACGTTTTCGATATACTTGCGTTCATAATTTTTGAAATATGACAATTACAATAAGACAGCAATTCTCGATTCGAATATAATTGTCGAGTATGTGCGATTTATGCGCGTCGATCGATCATCAATTTATTATATACGGTTGGTATAATAAACACGAGCGTGTAAACAAAAAGAATGAACAGAAAAAAAATAAAAATATATCACTGGCAATCCTAAAATCTGCAAGTTCTTTGATCTCAACATTCGTCTAGCATACAACGACTTGATTAAATAATATTTAACGAATAAATTTTTAAATATCTCTTAGTGTCGATAAGTAATGATTATAAGAATTGTGTAAACTACAAACAACAACAACAAAAATACTAACTCCACAATGGCAGTGTATAAAGTTTTAGGAAGACGTATTTCCGTGTATTATTGCTGCAGACGAGACGCTATTGTTTGTTCTCTTGCTACATGTATATGTACATACATTTATATATATACATTCGTATATGTATACATATATAAATACGAAAAAGAAGGAAGAAGTCTAGGACTTACGATAAGGAAATACACACAATCTTTACGAGACACGAAAAAAATTACACCTTATACACACGCGTAGATAGATAGTTTATTATGCCATTATTATAATTATATATTATCATATTATTACGATTAATTATTACGGCAAATACAATATTTAAATGTTATTAAATATATGCCGAAAGGAGTATGAGCACGAGCGCGCGAGTGTAAATGGTCAAAAAAAAGAAGAGAAGATTGAAGGAGAAAGAGTTAATGATGCTTAAACCAGCAAGGAGATGAAACAGAAAGAATGTGCGTGGTGAGAAAGAAAGAGAGAGAGAAAGAAAAAAATGTTTGCATGATGGTGTATGCTAATTCAGTGAAAATGTGTCAGATTGAGAGAACATGGGGCCGTGCATTGGGGGCGGAGTCGAATGGATAGTATAACAATGTACAGACCTTCCGAATGAGTCCTATGCGAGATATATATTCATCCCTGAAAAAAATTCCATTCTACCTACTTACCTATCTACTTTTCCTGAGCTCCTCCCTCCTATCAACCACCGGTCGCCCCCAGTCATAGCAGTTATGAACCGCGGGCCGGCAGGTCTGAGTATAATTTTTTGTACTGTGTAAATGTAAGAACATACGTTTGAATAAGAAAAATGTTTATATTATACGAAACGCCCGGCGTTGAATCATTGCGTCTCTCAACCCTTGTGTAAATGTCATCTGTGAAACGAATGGATGAGTTTTACAGTATTTTTCGTAGGTGCATAAACATTTTTTTTTCGTAAAAATGCAAGAAAGAATTTGAATTGAACTTTTAATAAAAATATCAATTATTCTAATTAATTAATTATACTTGATTATACTCGACTGAGAGTTAAGAGAGTTATGAGACTTTGTTAAATTTATTACATAAATCTTGATAAGTGAAAATTTTTCAAGCTTAACTTGCTTATAAATCCTTACTTTAATTAATTATACAAGATAATTGCTTAAGTGCTTATTGTTATTTCAATATTATCATTTTTGAATTTTTCTGTTTGATAAAAGCACTTAATTGCATCTTTATTAAAAACCTCAAATTTATAATGATAAAGTTGTGAAATGTATACTGATAAAAAATTAATCTTTATCCTTACAGAGAGAAAATACATGAAAGAGAAAGTAAAAATTCATGATAACATATCAAACGGAAGTTTTTCATTGTCAATATTTCTCATATTATTGAGGAATGAAATTACATTTTGTTTATACGTTAGGAAAAATAATTTAACAGATTTAATTAATATCTTTAACAAACATCTTTATTTGAAAATGGATAATTACATTTACTTATAATTAAATTTAATTATATTTACATTTACTGTTGAATTCAATTATTTACAACGAAATTCAATTTTGCAACATATCAGTCAAATTGATATATCAAACGAACGATATATATATATATATATATATATATATATATATATATATATATGTGTGTATGTATGTATAATGTCAGTGTACATTGACAGCGGAGAAAAATACTGGCATTAGTGTCTGCTAAATTAAACATAATATCGTACAACAATAACATTGAATGTAACTTTTTAATGCATTTAATATTTAATATCATATAATATATATTGATCATATTTTTATATGATCGACGTATTTCATCTTTAAGAATTTTATTAAATATTCTCTGTCGTTTCTTCGTTCTTTATCGAACGTAACGATTTTTCATACAAAATAATTCTTGCATAATATTCCATTTTTATTATCAAAAAAATTTCTCGCTAGAATTACTACGTAAATAGAGAAAGACAAGGGCTATTGTCTATATGTCAATTATTAATTAAAAGAGAGCGCGCATACGCGCCGAGGAACAGCGCACTGTCTCGTGTGCGCGCGCACGTGCTTTCAAGATGGTGGCGCTCGGGGAGAGGGACTTTAGGCTAGGCTACCGAGTGAAGCGTGTCACAATTGCGGCGAGTGCGTGTGAGTGCGCGCGCGGGACGATAGGATGATGGACGCGTGCCAGGATTGTTTATCGCTTCCCGCTGCCGTTGTCATCGCCGACATCGAAGGTGGTGCTCTGTAACGATTAGTAGCAGTGCGTCGCGCAACTGGTGGACAACAAGATGCACGCTTTCGCGGACGAACGTACGCGGCGCCGGGTCTGGAACTGATACAAGTACGCGCTCTGCGCTGCGCCGTGCCGTGTCGCGATACCACCTCGTACATATCAGTGTATTGAGCCAAAATGGCAGCCACGTTAACCGTCGAGCAGGAGCAAGTGAGTAATTTCTGTCAAACGCACGAACTGTCAAACCGATAAATGCTGGTCCGTATCGGCTGTTATCTCGTCCCGGGTCTCGAGACTCCGGAATTCGAGGAAGCGACTCTGGACGTCGCGAACCGCGCGGCAACTTCCCGGGGAAGATACTCGGATCCCCCCCGTGTCTCGCGAAATTGATCTCTGTGTTTATCCGTGACAATGGACGACCTGACCCTCAGCGGCGTTCCCTTTCTTTCGTCTAGCGTTGGAAAGATCGATCCCGGGGTATATATTATCAATTGCAATCTTGGTTTATCGGCTTCCGAATCAAATTCCTGAAGTCGAATCGGCGCGTTCGCGCGAAAGAATGTAAACATGATTTGCCCCCCGTTGTTATCTCGCGGACATTTTAAGATAGCGCGATAAGGATTGTAAACACGCCACACGTCAATCATCGTCTCTTCCGTCATTTCGATCATCGGAACGAGAAAACGCTTGATAAATTAACTACGATCGCTCGCCGGAAATTGGAACGTCTTAACGCAACACGGTGTTAATAATGGCCCATGTTTCCGGTAACCGGTTTTTTTCGGGGGGAGACGCCCACGCGTCCCGATTGGGAAATTTCGACTATTTTAAACCGCTATTGAACGTAGCGTCGACGCGAGTCGATGATAGCCGACGGTGCTTTATTCGCGTCTACTTCCGCCGCTTAAAAATTCACATCGGTGTAATACCCAGTGAGTCGTTTAAATTCTATGCGCAGGATGCGCTTAAAATATCCAAATAATATTAAATCGCGCGATAATTGACTTTATAACGAGATTTCTTATCGTTTCCTGTTAAAATTATATTTATAGGTATCACGATTTGGCGAAGAACTCGATCATTGATTTTGTTTTCTCATGGGAAAATTGGGAACATTTTTATTATTGATCACCAGAGAAATTGTTTATAATGAACGATGCAAAAATTATTATTTCGTGATTAAACAAATATTCAATTTGTAATTTACAAAATTGCTCCAGCTGAAACTGACTTTAAATCAATAGTAAATATTCTCTCTCTCTGGCGCGCGCGCGCGTGCACACACATACACACACACAGAGTCGATAAATTTATTAAATTTATTAATATGTAGAAAAAAATTAATATGGAATGCGAATTTTATACGTTTGCTATTGAACTCAATCGAGTCTATTTAACTGATGACGGAGTGGCATCGCATCAATACGCGGATAATTTCGTGTAACAAACTCTCGGTAAACTCGATTTGCAGCTACAACGAAGTTTCTCCGAAAACGAGATTTTCTCGTGTATCGATCCGTGATATTAAATGTCTGTCAGATATAAAGCTTCATACACTTTTAGCGAACGAGCTCTCTCACGATGGAGATAAATAATCATCGCGTTTTAATAATAGTAGTCTCGTTTCGCGTTAAGAATCGATTACGGCGGTAGCCTTGATTAATTAATACTGATTACGGATTCCGAACTCTTTCTTGCTATAATTATTCATGTCGGAAAGCTCGCTTAATCACATTTAACGTTAATTTGTGTAATTAATTTCCGAAACGGCGACTTTCTAACATCTTGAAATATGTTGAATAGGGAAGGAGAGAGAGATCTAGTCTCTTTATTAATATATATTTAATTAATATATATTTAAACTATCAATTTTAAATTTATTTATTTATTTATTTGTATTATATAATCTTATATATACTATATATTATATATTTTATATATATAAATATATAATATATAATATATAAATTACTTTTTTCTTTGTTATCTTATTTGATTATGATATAATTACAAATTTTATGACTACGCTACAATTGCAAATTTAATCGAAAGAAAATTTCATCGTCAACTTTTTTGTTTACTGTATTATATATAATATATAATATATTATATATAATATATAATATATTATATATAATATATAATATATATAAGATTATATAATACAAGTACTAAGTATATCCATTCAATAATATGCGAGAAAAAGAAAGAAATAATATCATAATGAAATAAACGTCATTTATTCATTCCTCGTTATGCGGTAAATGAACGCATAAAAAAAATCGAGCTGCAGAAATGTGTATATCAGAGTTTATAGTATATTAAATTCCTCGGCTCTCTCTCTCTCTCTCTCTCTCTTTCTCTTTCTCTTTCTTTAATACATAGGCCGACCTATACCACTTAACGTACCGGCTGATCCCCACCGGCTGGTATATAGCGGAAATGACCGATGGGGAGGTAGCCGGACACCGGAAGTTGTATCGGTAGTATACATACATACGTATATATACGCTCACCATCGCCCACGGTCATTGCACGTTTTAATAGTGTAAAAATGATATGTCGCCACACGTTACGACGGTATCGACAATTACATCGTCTCGTCCCGTCTTATCGTCTCGACAGTTCGTAATTTCGTTACGTATCTTCTTCGACTGAAAAGCGAGGATCGATTATGTGGCTATAAAAACGAACATAACTTCGATACGAGTTCGATCATAATTTTGCAGGTAGAGCGTAGCGTTTTCGTTGTAAAAAGACGCAAAGATCATTTTTGTGCTTACATCATCGAAATTTGAAGTCGAAATTATATCGGTTTCGGAATTCATAGGTTGAAAGTATTTTTCTCTTTCTTTTTTTTTATTGCGATTTATTAGGAGACCATGTGTGACGAATCGATGAGCCGATGAATACTCGAGATTTGCACGCACATTGCATTCGGGTCACATCGATCGGGTCGCTCTGATAAAGATTATAATTCGCCGTTTCCTGTTCGCGCGCGCCGCTAACGCAAAGCGTCGTTTTCAAGGTTGACATTGTGCAACGATGTATGTAAGATGCCGAGTGATTATGACAGGGATTTTGTTACCCAATGGACATTATCCATCATGCTGGTGTTTCAGCAACAAGTGATAATTTATTCATGGAATAATTACATTCAGTTCACTTTTGCGACAGTAACAACAAAGACGAAATGCGACGAATAATAAAGATGAAAGATAAAAAAAATAGAAACGTGCCTTTTAAAAAAATATTGGAAGAATATATCTCTGATGTTATATAAAGAAATCTTTTTTATGTTAATTAGTAATATTTATATCTATTTATATAAACATTCTAATTTTTATGAAAATTATGAAGAAATATAAAAATATACAAAATATTTGATCTGATGATAATATAAATATCTATTAATCTCTCTTTCTTTTTGTGTATTATATAAATTAAAATTTATCACATACAAAAAACTTTCAAATATTAACATATAAATATTCACATGTACATATCCTAATCTTTTTTCAGGCTACAAAGGAATTTATAGAAGCTGTGAATAAGTGCAGAGCTGGAAGACGAGCTGGGCCAGTGTCCTGGAGCACAGCGTTAAAATTTTTAGCGGCACGAAAGTTTGAAGTTCAACGAGCTTTAGCTCTGTATGAGCAGCACGAAGCTATTAGAAGAAGAGAGGGATTGGCAATCTTGCATCCTACTCAGGAACCTTTACTCAGTGAACTACGCACAGAAAAATTTACCGTTTTGGTAAGACAGAAAAAACATTTGACACATGTGTCTTGTTCGTTGTCGTATGGTTTATAATGAATTAATATATAAATTATTTCAGCCATCTAGAGATGCAACAGGTGCAGCGATAGCTATTTTTACCGCACATTTACATCTTCCACAAAACACTACACATCAAACAACTCTACAAGTAAGTATTTTATGATGTCTATATTTTTTATTATATATATATATATATATATATATATATATATATATATATTATTTTCTATTTTTTTCCAATCATCACATAATTTTATAAAATTTAAAATAAAGTAAACTAACGAACTTGTTATTTTTTTCAGGGTGTTGTTTATCAATTAGATGCTGCTCTAGAAAGTGCAGAAACACAGAAGCATGGTCTAATTTTTATTTATGATATGTCTGACAGCAAGTATCAGAATTTTGACTATGACTTATCCCAGAAAATTTTAACACTTTTGAAGGTAAGTCGAATACATTTTTTATTATTGATATCGAGATATCAAGGGATCATAATATTTGCATGAAATAAGCCTCAAAATTGTTTAATGACTTAGCTCTATAGCTTTCGTATTTATTAAAAATAATAAAAATTATAATCAACATATGCGCAAAGGAACATATTAAAAAAATAATGATAGTAAAAAAGAATGAATATATTACGAATGTGTGAAGCAATCTAAAAGTGAAGCTTGAGAAAAGGCGCGAATAGAAATCTAAGTAGCGAGAATGTATAAACAATCAACTATATGTGACTTACCTAAATAATCAAGAAGCGCGAAGCTTATTTCCGCTTATTCTCATTCACCGACGATATAATATAACGTCAAACATTTCTCGATTGCTTCCTGTTGCAAAATAACTACGCGTGAGTATTGTGTAGAATCTCGTATTTTCTTCTTAGACACGTCAGATTTTATTGAATTATTGGAATAGTAAAATATCATCGATATTTTCTCCGTATATTACACATCGATTTACGCACTGTTTTCTCTCGAAATATGCGTAATACTTTTCGATGCGACACAATTAAGCGGTATAACAACTAGTGTTCGTCCAAGCGAAGCGGAGCATTGTCAAGCGGAATTAGAAAGCGAGAAAAAAATTATATTCGAGAGTGAGAAGAGAGTAAGTCTTGCAACGAATATTCATTATGTATAGTACGGTCTCATTTCTCTCATCCCTACCGCGACAAAAATGTTTAATCGTGTAGAATATCGTTCGATGCATGAATGAAAGTCACTGCGCTATTTAAATTTCAAGCGGAAAAATGCGAAATAATAGAAGATTGGCTTAGATATACCATTTTGCAAATTAGTAAACATCGTTGAATAACTTTATTTTGCGTAGATTGACATATATAAAAAAATTGTAAGTGTTGTAATAAAAAATAATTTATATTATTGATAGAAAATATATATTTGATCAAATATATATTTGAATGTATATGAAAAGTTGATATGATTGTGAAGATATATATACGTTTTCGTATTAAATAAATACAAATATGATAATTACAAATTTGCAAAATGATCGTTCTATTTACGGTCTAAAATTTTGCAAGTATAAATAGTGTAGTATAATGAATGAAATAGACAGTACGCTCTCCTGAAAAATTTCTCCGGATAGAGGAGTGTAATAATTATGCGAATTACGTGAGCATGAAGTGCCTTTAACATGTTCTAAAATGCGTGGTCCGGTTAACATTCAACATTATATGCAATTTCGTCCGACTGAGGGGCATTACAGTTATTACCATCGCTGAAGTTAACCCAATTAGTCATCGTCGGTCGGTCGAAATAGTCTCGCGTTAATGCTTTGATGCGGTCAGCCCACTTACGTAAAAAATGGTGTCATACGTGATGTATCTGATTCTCTCTTGATCTCTCCGAATACGCAATGTCACTTTAATACCGTCATTATTTGACTAAGTCGTGACATTCTTTTCTTCTTACTCCGATTTTTACACACTTTCATATATTATTTTCTTATTTCAATGTTAAATAATTTATCGTTTTTTATGTATAAAAAGAATGAGGATTCTTATTTCTTCTGATGTATAAGATTTCTTTAAAAAAAATTTTTTTATTTAAAATTATGTAGGAAGATGCTCATCATATCGCTTCGTTTTTCCGAGACTCCCCACTTCTTGACAAGCGGTAAAGTCTGAATCGGCTTTTAGCATATGAGGATGTGCAGCTCAAAGAACAGCAAGGCTTAAGGGTGTTCATGCTTCGCGAAAAGTGGATTTGCAATTACGCAACGAAGCGCATCAAAGTAGCATATAGCATATAGGGTGACTTTCAAAGGTTTCCTAGAAACTTCCTTTTCTAGTGACGTCATAAAGTATGAGTACGTACATATATCATTAACGTCATCGTTAAATATAATTTATTATTAATCGTTAATTAAATAACTCGTGGGGGCGGTTACGCGAGACAAGTCTCATTTTTTTTCCTCTGAGAAGAGCTATTATTGTCGTCCATTATCAAAAGAGTGCGAAGGTATGAAAGACCTTCACGCGCCATGCAATTTAATCGGATTCTAATCGCGCAATGAACCGTACTTCTCTAAGGGATTTGCTTAATAACGATTTTTATAAAGGTTTCAGTACGCAGTGACATTTGCACGTATTTGTACATCGCGAAACTTGCAACAAATTGCTTCACGCATTTCCCACGCATTTATAGATCGCGTGAATAACGGTTGAATTTGATAGCGCAGTGCAATATAAATAGAATAATATAAGCGAATTTGCAAATTCTTATAAATCGAAAAGTATATTCAATAAGAAAAAAATTAGTATCGCATTAAAAGGAGCCAAAAGATAAGAAAGCGATAAGATAGGAGAAAAAGAGTAGAAGAAAGAATTTCATTCATGAATTTATCAAAATTCAATGTGCGTATAAAATCATATAAAAGTTAGACTCTTGCCACTTGGATATCTTCTTCTAATAGCAATCACACGCATTAATTATCGAATAATTACATGAGATTTCAAGATTCAATCTCTGTAGAAATGTTTATAGCTAGCATCAATATTAACTGATCAATTATACAAAGTGCTGCATGAATTTTTCGTCAAGATTGATGCTTCGGTCGGCTCGAAGCCGCAATTGAGAGACACTGGTAGGCAATACGTCACCGGTTGCTGCACCTCCGCTGCTGGCGATAAAAAAAGGATTTCGCGTAAGGGATGTCGGTGGCGAAAAGAAGGGGTCGCGTGTAGAACGGACGACGGCGCATGCGTCCCCTCGCTCGGGATAACCGTCGCGACGCTGGCGGTCAGTAATCATCGTGACCCCCTTGCGGCATCTCGTCGGATACGGTACGAGCGACCCGATTCTCCTCCCCTTCTCGTTCGTTCGATCGCGTCCTTGTTCGCGTGCGAGACCAGCGTTTTTCCACGACGACGACGATCACAACGTCGCCGTCAACTCTCCTCGCCTCCTCATCGACGAAGAACGAAGATTACGAACTGTCAAGTGAGCGCCTCGACGGTGTTATACTAATCTCGCGCTATCGATTAACTGACCGAGTGCCGGCAGTGATTTCGAGCCCCGGTGCTTGGGTAATCGTCACATGCCCCGATCATCTCCGCCAGAGGAAAGACGTCAACCCTCGAAGATGATTTGCTGCCCCTCGATGCCTCGCGACTATTGATATGCGATCTGCGATCTTCCCTGCCGCTTTCCAGGACAGCTGCTCACGGTAAATTTCGACTGTCAGTCGATCGATCGATCGGCCGACTAGCACATCTGGCCCGGCGGATTATGTCTGATTGTGTTTTGCGTAGCTCGACTCGGTAAAAAGTGGTGGAGCGACCCCGCGCAATATACGACGTCCGTCTCGGCTAATTCGAGACGTTTGCGCGCTCGCGCAAATCGCGATCCTAAATTTATACGCGTCTCGCTTGCGGAACTGAGATTTCTTCTCGGAATAAGATCAACGTCAGTGTGCCTTGTCCTCGTTACGCTCTCGCTTACCTCGATGACGTTTGTTGTATACGTAGCCACTGTTACGTCTGCTACGGTGGTGGTGGTGGGGTAGTGAACTGCTGACGTCGTCGACACGTTACAGTACATCCGCCCTCTGTGCCGTACACGGGGGTTAAATTATTCGGCTCTTCCTGAATCTTGTGTGTGTTACCAAGTAATCAAAAAAACGCGCGTTTGTTCACTTTGTTGTATTTATCGTTAATTGGCAATTTGCTGCGACTAATGTGAGAAATTACGATGAGAAAGAGGCAAATATCTTTTTTTAGAGCGCTCTAATTTTCCTAATAATAATCTGATAATCTAATCGAAGCGTTTGATTTTACGTGCATTTTTCACATAAAACATTTCCTCAACGTCGAAGAAATATTCAAAGTTAGTCTATAGTTGGCAGCTGATTTAATAATGTATAATATACGCTGTTCTATTATTGCTATGTCTTTGAAAGGTCAAGCGCACAAGTGCGTTTTTAGAAATTATTTCAGGATAATTATTTGTGATTTGAAATATTATTCGCTATTTCTATTATTGTCAAAAATTGACGAATATTCCAATAATAATTATTTTTAATGTCCTGAATAAGTTATTGTAAATTAAGAAAATCAAATTACATTAAATTAAAATTAAAATTAAAATTAGATAATTTTAAATTTATTGGGATATGATCTGTTTATTACTTTTCATGTGTTATTATATGAAGAAAATCAAACTCTCTTAATTATAAATTAATGTTATTATGATTACAATAGACTAATATTTATTATAAGATAAAAAAATGTATAAAATATCAAGTTTGTTTATACACAAAAACAGCATGTTATTTATATTATGCTCTATTATTTTAGGGTGGTTATCCAGCAAAACTAAAAAAGGTCTTGATCGTAACGGCACCGTTGTGGTTCAAAGCGCCCTTCAAGATCCTCCGATTATTCGTTCGCGAAAAATTGAGGGACCGAGTCTTTACAGTATCCATTCCTCAATTGACATTGCATATCCCACGAGAATCATTACCACATCGTTTAGGCGGCACGTTGGAGATACAGCATGAAGCATGGCTGCTTCATTGTCTTAAATCCATGACTAACCGAGGCGGGGGTGAACTTTGTGAGGTCAGTATTTGATACAACTTCAAATTAGCTGTACGTCATTTATTTCGTATCGATATACGACGAGCTCTTCTAAATTTATTTCAATAAATAATTTTGAATGAAATTATATGCTTTTAGGTCGCCCCAAGAGTAGATACACCCACGTCGCCCACAACAAAGGAAGATATGGTTCATCAAAATCTCAGTGAAACTGCAACGCACAGTACTCCGGCTAGTCCTATAATTGATAAAAACAAACAGATGAAAAATGGTGTGTCGAATATTGCCGACATCGAAATCACCACCGCAAATAGTGAGATAGTTTGGTCGGGAACGGATGAGGCACCATCCCCGGTTCAGGCTCCGTCCTCTGCTAGTTCCGGTTTTAGCGACGATGATAGCCTTCATGGCGAGCCTTCTGGATTTCAGAGTTTCACTATGGAACAACTTGTAGCAGATCTAAAAGCACGAGGACGTGCTGGCCTCATAGCGGAATATGCGGAAATTAGGCAGAGACCACCGGATGGTTCATTTAATAATGCAAAGTGCGTAATAGCAATATTTTTGTATTTGTGCGAAAATATTCCTCCTCCCCTCTCTTCTTCCTCTGAATTAATATTATTGTATTGTTTATTCTAGGCTAAAATCTAACCAATCAAAGAATCGTTATACCGATGTGCTTTGCTATGATCATAGCAGAGTCTGCCTTTCGCAAGTGGACGGGGATGCAACATCCGATTATATAAACGCAAATTTCGTCGATGGTTACAAACAAAAGAATGCGTTTATTAGTACTCAGGGTCCTCTCCCAAAAACTTGCGGTGATTTCTGGAGGATGGTTTGGGAACAACAAACACTGGTCATTGTCATGACTACAAGGTACATTGTTTTACTTGTACATTTTCAGTATAATAATGAACTTGACATCTCGTATAAATATAAAGTTTTGACTATATATATTTTATCATACAGGGGGTTTGACGTAAAGTGTTTCACAAATATGCAAATAGATTTCATTAAACTAAACTAGAAAGTCTTATATCACTTTGCAAACAATTATATAAAATTTTGAGATATTAATTAAAAAAGAGCGATCAATAAGCGCGTCAAACACCCTGTATATATTTTATTATAAAAATTTTATATAAACATTGTAATTTTATATAGTTTTATTATTTTTTATTCTTTTTCAGAGTGGTAGAGAGAGGGCGTACAAAGTGTACACAGTACTGGAATCCAGAACCAGGTTATGATGTACAAGTGGGTGGCTTTACAATAACCACTCTTGAAGTTGATAAAAATCGAGATTACACAATATCCATGCTTCTTATCACAAACACAAAGGTACATGTGTAATTTTATTCTTTTAATTATTATATTTGGTACTGGTTATATTTATTTATACATATATGTTTGTACATATATATTTATACATTATACATATATATTATACATATATATTTATACATATATATTTTCTTTTAGACTGATGAAACGAGAGAGGTTTGTCATATGCTGTACACAGCATGGCCAGATTATGGTGTTCCTAAGTCTGCTTCAGCTTTATTACAGTTCTTATCTTTAGTAAGACAGCAACAAAGCAAATTACTCGCTAGCAGAGGAGATACATGGGCCGGACATCCTCGAGGACCACCTATAGTTGTACATTGTAGTGCAGGCATTGGAAGAACAGGTAGATAGACAAATACTTGCAAAATTGTAATCCAGAATATATGTATTGTATCTTCTTGGACAAAAGAAAAAAAAGATCTTAATACACGCTTGATATACTTCAATATTGACATATTTCCAGGTACGTTTTGCACCTTAGACATTTGCATATCGCGACTTGAGGACACTGGAACTGTGGATATACGAGGAACTGTTGAGAAAATCAGAGCACAGAGGGCCTATAGTATTCAAATGCCAGACCAGTACTTTTTTTGCCATGTTGCACTAGTGGAATATGCGTGTTCTAAAGGACTGCTTAGCGTACAAAATGTCTCTGTACTCTCTCCATCAATTGAAGAGGATTCCGATTAAGAAAATAACAGTTCTGCTATTATATACCGGATTGATGTTCTTCCCAAGTATGCGTATATATGGTATCCTTAAAATAGCCTATTTCTATCTTATAAACGACTGAAAGTTATTTTTCGCTATTTCCATCAATGTAATGATTCAATTTCTTGTTGTTACATCTCACACTTTTACAAAATTGGATGTAATTTTTATTGTTTCAAAGTCAGATATAAATGAGCAAGAAACTTCAGCTTCCTATTTCTTTTATCGAGTTCTGATGAATGCTATATAATTCTATACAAAGGTGCGTCAATATGCACTAATCACAAAAATAAGTATTTTATTAGTAAAATAAGAATCTGGCATGCAACAATTCTATGTATCGTATCTTGACTCTCTCAAATGTAAATTTTATTATGTAACATAAAGTTACAGTATAATTAATCCTTCAAGATTTATTTGGATTTACAAAATTAAATTGAATTTTTAATAGGACAATTAGAAGCATAATCATAGTAAGCATATCCATAATTGTCACCCAGATTTAGTATCTTAATTTAATAAACTATTTTTAACAAATCTATAATTTAATGTGCATTACATTACTCATTACATTATTCATTTTTTGTGTTTCTATAACAATTACGTATAAATTCAATTTATAATTGTTTATAGTTTATTCATATACTTATATACTTATTCATATTTTAAATAAAGCTTTATACACTTGATATAAGTGCAGTGCAGAATTAAAGTGCTTAATTACTACACGCTTGATTACTTTGGTTTAAAATAGTAATATCATTGCGAGATTATAAGTTTATTTGAGAGAGTTAAATTCGATCTAAAAATGAAGAAACTGAGAGATATAGAACTTTAAAATATGAAAAATATAAATGTGATTAATATATATAAATATATATATATATATATACATATAGTTCACAAATTATGACAAATGTGGTTTAATAGTGGCCAAAGTATAGCCACAATTATTTAAAATTATGAGATTTAGAGATATTACTAATAATAACATACGGCTTCTGCCTTACAGAAATATAGATTACACTAGAAAATAAACAACATACTGATAGATGTTTTTGGGTAACCAAAGATTATCTGCTACAACTCTTTGCAAGTGTAGAAAATCGAAATTTTAATATGTATGTAAAAAGAATTTTGGTTATATATATAATCGCGCGGGAAAAATTCCGTTTTACAGGGATTACTAATCAGGGATCATATTGTAGACTAAACAGTTTCCGACGCGACTAAAAGAAAAGCCTAAAGAATGCAAGGCTTTAAAGTTAAGATTTTATGTTAGTTGAATAAACTTCCAATTCATCTGATAATTAACACATATATCTGTTTTATTATAAAATTACGACGATCAAAGATCGTATATACTTGCGAGCATCAAACATTTAATGACAATTTAAGATATCTAGGTATAAATTATAATCTCGATATTAACACTCAATGACTATGCAAAAATTTTACCTTCAACGGATACTATAATATAATGATGAGAAAGATCACAATTAAATACGGAAAAGATATAGACTCGTTATACATTGTAGATGAAACTTTTGCGATGTTTAAACACATCATTGATTTTATACGTAATTGTGAAACAAGTAATATATATCTTTAGACTGTAAAAATGTCTCATTTTCAGGGTATTGTGAGATGTGTATCTTTGGTTCTATACAATATTTATTCTAGTAAAATAAGCAGTAAGATGTAATAAGAACTTTGAATAATACTGCTTTCGATATTTCGATTGTTGTCTTACGCTTTTCGATTTTGTTACTATATCTGCTAAGAACTTGTGTACATGTAACCTTGGATATATGTTAAAACGCTCTATGTCCGATCTGTCTTGTATTCAATAAGTACTCGAATCGTTTATCCATTGAATGTATACGAAACCTGGTGCAAGGAAACTGCGATATGTGTGAAGTGAATCGTTTCCTGTACACACTGGTCATTCGGTGTCTTGTGGATTACAAATTTTATCGAGGGTTATTATGGTATTAGTATCGTGAAGCATTGTGATAGTCGATAGAAGTATCCGAGAATTCGTATCTCTATTCTTCCAAGTACTGCCATTGCCAACTACGCTAATTTCTATTTTTTCATGCTGAATAGTTGAATTTTTTGCGGTGTAATCACGATACGGCCACATGCTCGTGTGTATATGTATATATATGTATATATATTATATATATTATATATATATATATATATATATATATCTATTATATATAATATGTATATATAATGTGATATATATTAATGTATACTTTGATATATATTAATATATTATATAAATTTATATATATAATATATATACACACTAACTGAGATATATAATAATTTATTAACATTAAATTAGGACACGATATATGTAATAAAGTAATGGCGGAATACATTTTTCTGGAAAAAGTATTTCATACATACGCAAGAGTGTCCAAAGTCCCGTTTTAATACATTATTGCGAAAAAGTTTGAAGATTTTCGCTATAGTGTTTTGTTAAAAACGAATTTTTCAACATCCTGTAAAAAACTGTTTCGCAGAGTATTTTACTTTAGCAGAATGATAACTAGCCATCTGTTAAAAAAATGTCTTCGAATTTTATACGAGATGTATGCGCTGTTGTATCGCAAAAAGAAAGAAAAGAAAAACTTAGTCACGTTTAAATAAGTTATCGAAATTTCACCTTTGTGTATATATATATATATATATATATATATATATATATATATATATATACATTTATATATATACACATACATATACACAAAATATGTATGTATGTATGAATTACACTTATGCACGTATATATAAATATATATATTATATATATTATATATATGTTCCTCCTACCCTTAGGTTACCTATAAAGGGCATGTTATCGATATTAATTATCGTTTACTACGTTATTACGTTTATGTATTTTATCTATTGCATTATCTATTTTTCTATTGTCTAGCTATTTATTATATCGATTGGCTTGTCGACGTTCCATGTGATGTATGTATACGCACATGTTATCATGAGTTTCTCACAAAATCTCTCGCTTTTAACGATAGTATTCTGTATTTAGCGGTTCTGTTTCTTTTTGTACTGCGAAGAAATGAATACCTAATTTGGCTATTTAGATTGTCTCGATTAAGTTTAAATGTAAACTGCGATTTTGTAGTTATTTTTTATAGCGCGCCTTTTTTGCATCTTATACATTGTAACATTTAATAGTGAATTAAATACTCGTCAATAAAAGTCATTGGAGCGGGTACCAAAGTTTTTCGTAAGACTCGCGGAGAAAATAATTACGGAAATATTAATAAGTATATAATTGCATCGAATATGTAAACGCATTCGAGTCACATTATATACCTAATGAGCTTTGAAACTGAGAGTAGATAGTTTTAAAATAATCGACTTAAAAAAAAGTACTATGAGCCTGATTAAATTTTTTTTCGCTAAATCTATTCTGCCAATCGATAATTGTGTCAGTTATTCTAGGCATTTTACCATTCATTTTTTTTTAACTTTTGAATACATACAAAGTGATGATCAATAAATGCACTGACATTATGATGATATAAACGTACAATTCTTGATGTGAAATCTAAATTAAAATTTTTATCAGTGAAAAGGAATATATTAGAAAATAGAGATCATGTATTACACATATATAAAAGATACGTAAAATGGACTGTAATTACTAAACTTTTTCTTTCAATAAGCTTTAGATTGCAAACAACTTTTTACGTGTTATTTATTAATTTACGTTATATTGTTATGTTTTGCGATTAATTTCGATTATTTGCATTCGCTAAGTATTCGTAGATCTTGAAGATTTCGTTACCGATGCTACACATCTCTATATATAGATGGACAGAATTAAATATTGACTAATTATTCAACATTGTACGCGATAATCGCCCATTTTTGTATAATTAATGCGAGATTGTGAGACAAATGATACACAAAGCGAGAAAAGCTATAATAGAGGAAACTAATGTTTTATGTGTATATCTGATGCATCTTGTGCAAACCCGTGTCATAATAATTAAGACTCAATGATGAAAAAATTGTTAAAAATATTACGAAAATGGAAGAAGTAAAGAGAAAGAGGACAAGAAAAAAAAATGTATATAAAAATGATATGACCTTAAATTACTATATCGCACATGATTGTGTATCTAATTAATAATTATTTAATATATTGCAAATATAAATGGTACAAAACTTTGATGTTTTATTTAACAATTGTAATTATATTTCCAGTTCAATAAGATTATTAAATATATGAATATCTTATTATTCGTATACATACAAATATTAGAATTAATTCAAAATTTTAATTTTTTATTTCTATATAAAATATATGTATGATTAAATTATATAATGAGATTTAATTTTATATAATATTTATATATAAAATTTTATTTATTTAAATTTTAATTAATTGCGCGATTTCAATATCGTAAAATATTAGCTGCGGTCGGGAAGACGCTCTGGATGCTTTGAAACATCATTCTATCTTTGTTCTACATTCCATGAGAATAAAGATAGAATGATGTTTCGGAGCATTTATAGTGCAGTCTTGAGCGCAGCCATAATTAATTTAATTTAACATGTTATTCATACACTGTACTCACAATTCCTCGTCGATGATTGGTTACAAATGTAGCCGTAACGCGCAAGCGTATAGTTGAGATAATCAGCTGTTCAAAATAATAATTGAATTGTTTATTTTGCTTGCACTTTTTATCTACTTTATATCTTTCTTCTTTCTCCGAAGTTTATATCATTTTCAAGAAATAAAGAAAAAGAAAGAGAGTGCCAGATAAAGTTTTAGCCCATCAGTATAAAATTGATCGAGTAGAGATCAGCTGTTTTCTTAATCTTTTAATCTTTTTTTCTCGAAAGAATTAGTGTACGCATTTTAAAAACAAATGCAAAAAAGTGCTATTGAAACGAACAAAATTTATTTGAAGAGGAATTTGAGTTTTCCTAATTCCTTTTCTATTACTAGAAATCTAATTATCTGGCAAATGTGTCACTCCTAACCTAGTTCCCTTGTATAGATAACTTTTTCGAGTTGAAAACAAAATCTACAAAAAAATACGTTTAAATTTAAAATTAAATATGTCACACCGCGATAGTGATAACGATAGCATGCATAACTTGTTAGATGAGAAGAGTATTGATCTGGAAAATTGTAGGAAATTAGTTAGATCGTACATCGATTTGGTAAGCTTTATTAAATGAGGTAGTAAATACCTATGCTATAAAGCGTATATCTAACTTGACATATATACTTTTAGCATCTGTACAGTGCCGCCTTGTTTTGGGCTGACAAAGTAGTATCATTGAGTAATGAAGATCCAAAAGATGTATGCACTTTGGCGCAATGTATGTATCTCATGAAACAATACCATCGTGCTGCGCATCTCATAAAAAGATATGGATTAGAGAAGGTAATTTTAGTAATTGTCGATTTCTTAGAATATATGGTAATTATGATTTTGCATTAGAAGAGACATGTATATAACTTATTGAATTAAACAATGATCTTTTTGTTGTTACAGACTGATGTTATGTGTCACTACTTAACTGTGAGGTGTTTATTAGAAGCAAAGGAATATACTGATGCTCTTCAAGTTATTAACGAATCTGAAATATGCACCAATATAACACAAGCTGGCATTACATTTACGGATCGTATGGATATTTTTCAAGATGCTCCAAAAAATGTAAATAGATTTATATATTTATATATATATATATATAGATAAATATATATATTTGCAAAAAAATAGTATAATGACACTATTTATAGTTACTTGTTATATAAATATTTAAGATGACATAATCTTTTCTGGTAGGTTCAAAGTTCGATATTATATGTAAAAGGAAGAGTTTATGAAGCGATGGATAATAGAGCAGTAGCAACAGAATGTTATAAACAAGCTTTACAATGTGATGTTTATTCATATGAAGCATTTGAAGCTTTAGTACAAAATCAAATGCTTTCAGCCTCCGAAGGTATTATATTGATTGTGCAATTGAATTTTATTATTATTTTTTTAAGTAAATTAATGTAATAATAATTGTTTTAGAACGAGAACTCTTGGAATCCTTACCATTTGCTGAACAATGCATGAAAGGTGAAGCAGAACTTCTACGACTATTGTATGATAGTAAACTAAAAAAATATCAAGAACCAAATACAAAACAATCATTAATTACATGTAATGTAATGGGAATTTGCGTCACTGACAGATTAGCAGACAATTTAGATATGCAAGTTGCAAAGGCTGAAAGATTATATTATAACTGTGATTATCATCAATGTTTCTCACTCACAGAGATGTAAGTAACATATTTCTATAATGAAATATTTTTGTATACAAAACAACATGACATTTTTAATGTTTAGAATTTTAAAAAAGGATCCGTACCACAACTCGTGTCTTCCAGTGCATATTGCCTGCTTAGTCGAGCTTAAAAAAACTAATGGTAAGTTTACATCTTATTATAAAAGACATGTTAATATTTAAATTTGTTAACAAGATTTATTTCTTCTTTAGCTTTATTTTATCTGGCGCATAGATTGGTTGATCTATATCCGGAAATGGCTTTGGCATGGTTTGCAGTTGGATGTTATTATTACACCATAGGTACCTAGTTACTATTTAATAATTATTTCTAAAATATAATTAAATATTATTAAATGAAAAGTATTGAAATAAAAAACGATAGTAAGAATTTTAAATAAATGCTTGTGAATAAAACAGAAATTTTTCAACAATATTATATTCAAGGCAAAAGCGACCAAGCAAGAAGATATTTAGCAAAAGCTACAGCACTGGACAGACTGTTTGGTCCTGCTTGGTTGGCATATGGACATTCCTTTGCAGTAGAAAATGAACACGATCAAGCAATGGCTGCTTATTTCAAAGCATCACAACTAATGAAAGGATGTCATCTTCCACTTTTGTATATTGGATTAGAGTGTGGTTTGACGAATAATCTAAAACTGGCTGACAAATTCTTTCAACAAGCTCAAGGAATAGCACCAAACGATCCGTTTGTGATACATGAAATGGGCGTTATATGTTTTTACAATTTAGAGTAAGTATTATTTCTGGTTTTTTTTTATATTCTATATCATTGCGTTTTATCATTTATAAATTTTGAAAAATTACGATATAATCTTCAATTTATCCATATAAATTATCAAAAATTATTCTTGTTAAACACAGTTACAAAAATGCAGAACGATTATTTAAGGAAGCTATGAAAAGCATTCAGGGCGATGTAAGAAACGTGATTCTGCCCAGTAAATGGGAAGCATTATTGAATAACTTAGGGCACACTTGTAGAAAAATGAAAAAGTACGACGAGGCATTAGAGTATCATCAACAGGCGTTAGTCTTGGATTCATTAAACCCATCGACTTACTCATCGATTGGTTTTATTCACGCATTAATGGGTAACATTCAAGAAGCAGTGGATGCTTTTCATAGAGCGCTCGGTCTCAGAAGGGACGACACATTTACTGCAACTATGTTGGGTTACGTAATGGAACAGTTGATTGATGAGGCACCACCGTATCCTGGTACGTGGAAAGAATTTAATTGTTATTACAATAAGCGATTCAATTTTTTACATCATAAGCTCGAGATAAAATCGTAGAATTTATTTACGAATAAAAACTTTTCAGATGCGCCTACGGAAATACCGAAATACAAATCTGAGGACAGCGAAGTTAGACCGGAAAATTCCAGCAATATGGGCAATAGTTCAAATGGTCAAGACATCGATAAATTAAGAGTGATTCTATTCTCCAACAGTTGGGGAGAAAATTCCGGCAAAATGGGAAAGATCCGAGAAGATAGTACATCTGGAAAACTCGAACGGCAGACACGAGACGCCGTTAATTATTCGACCGGCGATACTTCCGAGGTCGAGATGTTGGATTCGTCGACCGCACATATAGAATATAATTAAATCTATAAATCTCTTTCTTATGCAATCAACGTATGAAGCAAATAGCTTTGCTTAAAGCATATTTATTCTCCGTAGTATGTAATCTCGGCGTATTAAAATGATAATGTAAATAATGTATATACATTTTTTATATACTCTAGTTTTGATACATCTTACAAAGTTATATGTGCGAATTTCTCGTGGCAAGATACATTGCTTCGTTGATATTGTATCAACTTACATATATCAAACATGTGTTAGCTTGAAAAATAAAGGATGCGAAGACAATTCTAATAATTAAGTTCAGATTTAACGAATGTGTCGTAAAATATAAATTGAGTGTCTTTCTTTCATGTCTTCCTTTTTTTTCGGAAAAGTTTCTAAGCTCTTATTTTTTTAGCTCTTTCGCTGTTTTAAATTTTAGGTTCTGCATATGACAGAATGTGAAAGGATAAAAAGATAATAAAAATAATAAAGCTAGGCGCGATATATCAGAGATTCCGAATTCGTTGCGGAGCGACCATCTTCGATGGAGCGTGCGTGCGAGGGAAAAGAGACAGAGTGGGAGAGAAAGAGAGAAAATACGAGCGGGGAGAAATCTTTAGTTCATTCGGGGTGGTATAGCACGGAGGAATGGGCGTTCCATTGCTGTACCATCGTCAGTGAATGGTAAAGGATCGGGAAGACTTGGCAGGGAACGTCGAACGGACAGCGCGACGAATGCGCTTCCCGCGACGTGTTAAAATCTCCCACCGTGACCGGGCGGATCCTTCGTCCTGAGGAATCATCCCTCGCCGCCACCGCCGCCGCCGCTGCTGTTTATCATCGTCATTCGCACGTAACTTCTCGGGAGACGTGCAACACATGAAGCTTATCGCGCGTTGTTATTAGTGGCGGACGACAGTCGGCGGCTCTCACTCACTCGTGTCTCTGGAATTCGTGTGGGAACGAGCTGTGTATCATCAGCGGAATCTACGCATCCTCGGAAATCGCAACAGGACCGTTGACGAATTTTTCCCACGGACATGCCCACACTAATGCAACCGGTAAGTCTCGTTATCTGTCCGCAAGATTAAGACCCGATTATATCTGGATAATTAATATCGACTTTAAATTCATTTAACATGAAATAATTCCTGTTAATTCACAGGAAAAAACGCTGATATATACATTTTTGATCATACTTATTGTGATATTATTCCGCGAATTATATTGTTCTGTAAGTGCTGATACGTAGATAGAGAATTGAACAAAGTCACGACATTTCAAGGATGTTAGAAGCAAAAACCGATCGGTTCCGCTATTCGGTGAATTCAATTGCCACTTTTATCTCCGATGATTGTAAAATCTTTTATTTATTCTTCTTTTAGGCTCTTAATGTGCTGGAAATGCTCGTTTATTAATTTGATGCGCTACATGGACGACATAGATAGGTATATATCGTAAAGGAATGTCCTATCCCGAGCAAATGTAAATAAACACGGCGACATACATATCGAAGCTATAATATACGTACATGTACGCGAGAGAATTTTATATTCCTGGCGAATATATATTCGATACATCTCTGAGATATTGTTTCGAATACATTTGTGATACTCATGGAAGAAAATGGGATCGATGCATTCGTGCACGATTGCCAAAAATTTTTGGGTCGATCGATTTGTACGAGGGTGAGTTAATTGCGGAGTTTGATAATGGACACGTGTTCTGGATTTACAAATCTTGAACGAAATACCGATAAAATGTATATTTTCGAGTTTATCGCATAAATTTTCAAGCAGTGCAATTTTTTTCTCTTATTTATTCATTATTATTTAGAATTATTTTTACTATAATTAAATAATTTAGTTTCAATATTCATTTTAGAGATTTATTTCAAGTTTTTATTCTCTCATTCATATTTCTCGAAAAAAAAAGTGATGATTTGTTTAAAAAGTTCATAAACATGTAATTTATTTTACAATATTAATATAAGAGATTATTATCGTTTTTATTAATATTATTATTTTTCGCATCATATTACGATAATCCTGAGATTTCACGCACACAATAGGAGAGAATCTTGCAAAATTATTTCAGTAAAAGACTTCACGATTGCGTCATTGGTGACGTATAAACACGATGATGGAATCATCGCGTGTATAAGTAAACGGCGATATACTCGGTTCGTCATTGAAAAGCCAAAATTCTGGGAAAAGTCATGGAATGTGTGTTTCCCGATATTCTTCCCCACTTCATTCCTCTAAAGAATGTTTTTTTCTCTCCTTTTTTTTGCGAATTCCACAAACGCGCCACAGCCGGCATCGTGGCGTCCTTCAGGAGGCGCGCTGTTTTCGTTCGTCGATCGCGACGCGCAGTCGATCGGCGTCGTTCATAGCGAGAACGTCGCGTGCGAATTTAGGCCTCCTTGCTCGTTGTTACGATCACGAGGTCCGGAACAAACGATATCGGCCGGCAAGAAACACCGTAAGGAATATACCACGTTTCGTATCGCGAATCGAATCGAAAATAATTTTCAAGTTTTAAACAATCGAAATCTCGAAATCTCGAAAGCTCTACCCACGGGTTTTGAAAATAAGAGTTTTTTTTAAAATAGAAGTTTAAGTATTTGAACTATGTAAGATATATTAGGAGTGCTCCCTTTTTTTCTACGAAGATAATAGCGCGTATTTGTACTTCCAGCTGAAGTTCTTTTGTCAGATTATGACAAAAAACCACTTCCTTCTAGTCAATTCTTCATTTACATATGAAATATCTTTACAGCTTTTGTTAGTTAAAGTAGTTCAACGATCTTTCGATCTTTTTTTTTTTAAATTCACTGACTGTATTGAAGAGATTTTTTCAGAACAATTAAAAAAAATAATCAATACCTCGATATTGTTTTAAAAATATGCGATTGTAAAATATCAGAGGCTTCCGAAACTGATTAGTAAATATCGATTTTGCAGACGGACATTTCTCTGAGCGACGAGAGCGACGAAACGGACGTCGAATTCGATCGAGAGCCATTATCGATGCATCATCAGGATCCGTTGCATCAGGATGCGACGCAGAACCGGGAACGCAGCAAGCTGCTACTGCGCAAACTGAGTCAAACTCGCGAGCGAGAGCGCGGTAAGGAACGCGACCAAGAGCGCGAGAGATTGCATCAGTTGCAATCGATCAACAATTTATTGATCGATCTACCACCACCACCGTCGCCTACGCACCTTCCAAATTATTCGCAGGATGCTTCTTCCTCTTCCCAATCCGATAAGAACGTCAGCATTGATGGTGAGATGAAGCATTTTTTATCCTGCTTGCTTTCACTTAGGTGTACTCTTCAAGTTTAATCGATGAAAACTGATGATAAAGAACTCTAAAAAATTGTCTAAAGAATTATCTTAAAAGTTTTGATCTATCTTTGGATATCGTTTAACTTTATCCCTTCGTTTGCAAAACGATTAAACTTATTTCCGGATCTTTATTAGATTTATTATTGTGCAATTTTTTGCCTTGTGAGTGAGTGTATTATTTCCTTTTTTTTTAACACGCAGGCGACAGCGCAATTTCGGATATGTTCGGACTGGGTTTGCCTCGAGGATCGTTGGTGGGAAATCAACTGACGATTGGTTCTTCGAATTATCGTAATTATCAATTCGGCAATTATGATCAAACCCAGGGATCTTCTTCACAACAGCAACATGAGGTAAAAATGTATACGTATATCTATCTATTGAGATTTATTCCAATGAAAATTTAAGATTCTATAACATTGTTGAGAAGAGAAAGTTTATTAAGAGTGAGAAAGTTTATTCGTTGCGAGGATATGTTTGATTAATAATATAACGCAACAAATTATGCATGAGAAAGATACTTAACGCGGCTTTTGTTACAATTGGATAGAGGCAATAGAGAGGTGGATCAGTAGGAGTTAATATTCGATTGGCGCATTGTGATAAAACTTATATCATCGAAATGTAAAATATTATATATAAATGGAAATCGCATTTTATGTCAAGATAACGTAATCTATTAATTGACAAATAAGAACGCAATTTAATATCGACAAACTGCAAAGTGTAATCAAATAAAAATTTTCATAATATAGTTAATTCAAAACTATTATTTTATTTCATACTTTAGATTTCACATTTTATATTTTGCTCTGTTATAATATTTTTGAGAATTCGTTTATTCACGAAAAAATTATACTGTTGCTATTACTCGCAAGAGATTATTCTCCATTATAAAATAAGGACACATTTGACAACGATTTGATAAGAAAACGCGATTGCAGTAATAATTTCAGCAAGCTAGAAATTTTACGCACAGAATGGCAATAAAGATGATAAACGTAACATAAAGCATATTGTGCTGGAAGAATTTCCTCGACGGTGCAATAACTCCAACAATGATTATCCCATTGGAATAATTCCAACTATCTTATTTCCTTGTTCGAGTTTCCCGATTCTAAAATTTAACTTGATCGATATTTATCATATCGCATTATATATTTTAAATGCCTATCAGAATTATTCTCGAACGATATGTGTTCCGGCAAATTTCAGATCACAATTTTTCTATTAATTTAAAATTTAAATTTAATTTATATCACTTATATTTCTTTAATTATCAATTAGAAAATATTTGAATATATATATAAAATATTTGAATATACATATAAAATATTTGAATATACATTTCAAACATTCCGCGAAACACAATTCAAAACAGATTTCTAATAATTTGACTCAAGATATATAAATAACGATCTGGATAAAATGAATAGAGTGCTAGGATAGTTTCGATGACCGAGACTGGTTCATGCGAGCCAAACGACTCTCTATTAGAGAGAACGCCCTTCTTCCCTTTAATTCAAGCCGACGTAAAGTCGCTGCCATTTCAAGACACCGTGTCCTCTCATATATCGCATAATACTTCGTTTCAATTTGGACATATTCCAAGTACTTTGAAACGCATGTGCGCAAAGCGAATTCCATACTTCTTTCTAGTACCTCGCAAATTCCGAGATATGTTACTTAACTGGAGCACGAAACGTATTATATCCAAGTTCAATTTTCGATGGTACAAATATAGATGAAATTATTTTTATATTTACATATATGATATATTGAGATCTCTGAACTCACCGAGATATCGATGATTTTATCTTGCATAACGTTGACTTTGAGAGAAATGATTTATGTTTATTCTATGATGTACGAGAGAGCATAAAATGAATAAAGATTTTGGCAGCTTTTGGTAACTTGTGCAATTACTGTATTAATTACGTATACTTACTTACAGTGCCATCGAAATCATGGTTTTTGCTCGAATTCATCTGGCCTT